TTTAAAATTTTACTGGTAAAATTATAAATTTAGACAACAAGATTGGTTATCGAATATATGAATGGAAAAGATACCTTAATAAAAAAACCTTAAAATATATTTTTCTGAAGATTTTACATTAAATGGTGTTAAAATCTGACTAAGAATTAGTTGCTCTGTGTAGTACCTCTAAATTGCTGGGGTACTAATTAGTAAATATTTGAATGACAGAGTGTTAGTTTTTTTAAACAAAATGTTCTGAGTTCGATCATTTAGTAAATATTTCTGACATCTTCAGATAACCTATCTGATTCACTTAACAAATTTCATCAATATTATTTACATTTGCAAACACTCTCTGATAACTATTATTTGTCTTCGGTGGTTGAAGATGTTGCAATATACTTAAGAAATGTACAGCAAAAACGATGTCTTCTGCAACAGGATAACTAAACAGATTTTTTGATCCTTCTACTTTCCTTAGTAATCTCATATAAAGAATTTTGAGTGTTAGTAAAACCTCAACTTTCGTTGAGGTTTTACCAACGTTCAAAACAATGCTAATGTAATTCAAGTTCACACTTTTTTTAGTTTTGGGTAGACAACAACATGCTAACTCCCTGTAGTTAGAAAATTGTTGACATCAGATTCTTTTTGAATAGACTCATTTAAATCAACATCTATTTTTTCATTAATTTCGTTGGGATAACCACTATTACCGATTCAATTGATATATGCCTGAAGTTTCGAATCTTGCTTTTAAGTTGTCTGCTTTCAGAGTATTTTTCAACTTTGTCTAGAACGCTGGGAAATGTTTTTTTGGAATTGAACCATTGATTTGTGATTCTTTTCTCCATGTTTATAAAATCTTCTTCCACTCAACTTTCAAGGATCTGAAAATAGCAATATCAAGTGGTTGTAGCAGATGTGTGGCATTTGGGATTAAACATGTAAACCGAATATTATTTTTCTAGCATGCTTTGATGAATGCAGATGAGAAATGTGAAGTTAAATTATCCCCTATAACAACTTTAGTTCCTGTAAGAAATGCTGTTTCAGGAATAAAAATTTCCCTAAACCAACGTTCAAATGTTTTAGAGTCGAACCAACAAGATTTTGATCTGTCAAATAAAGTTCAAGGTGGGCCACCATTTTTCCACTCTAGGTAGCAGTTTGCAACTTTATAAACAACCATGGTACAAACAACTGACTAGCTGCACTCCCACAGTACATAATACTAATAGCTCCTTTAGAATGCTGCATTTTCCTTTCTACGCGTTTAAGGCCACGTTTACAAACTACTGTTTTAGAGCCTGGATTATCGCTCACATTTGTCTCATCATAGTTGAATATATTTGTGTTAGTAATGATTTAAAGTGTAATGGATAACTCATCGAAATATGAACATACTGAATTCCGGTCAATTTTAACTCTTGCTGATTTTACGTTGACAGCAATTACGAGCAGTCAGAGTATTGCGAACAATTAAGGATTTTATTCAATCAGGGCCAAGCAAGTTATTTTTAATTTTAAAATCAGTAACACTCATTCTGTATAGATAGTCTTTTACTAGCTAACGTATATCCAACTTATCTAAAGGTAAATTCAAACCTGTCAGGATGCTAATAATTTGTAGAATCTTTTCTTTGGTATGGGACTGTAATCTGGTCTTCCCTTTAAAGTTTTTCATATGTTTTAGTTTACTCTTGTTGTACAGAGTACCATATGGTATACTAATAACTTGGACACCTTAAAAATTGATATTTTGTTAGTTAAGATATCTAACAAGGCATTTTGCATGGCTTCTGCAGAATACAATGGATAGAAACGGTTACCAGATGTACGTTTATAAGTTCTCATGATTTCTTCTGCAATTTTTATTGTGATATTTATGTCTTAATGTCTTTTTTAACTAGAAATAATCGTTTTTTTTTAATTTTATTTACACTTTTGCCGATAAAAAAAAATTTACAGTCGTAACTTATAAAAAAAAAATAATTACATGACCGACAAAATATAGTTTGACAACAAAATATAGTTTCAATGTATATATCTCTGATTTGTATTATAAAAGAAAATTTAAATATATCGCATATCGTTTAAAATTTATAGTTTTTCAAAGAATAAGATTTAACAATTGTTTTGTAAAATAAAAGAAACAAAATTTAATAAAATATTAAAATGACAAAAATAACATTAAAGACTTGGTTTGAAAAAATAAGAAGATATGATTTTATATAAAAACATTTTATTGGTAGAGCATTTTATAGTTTAACTTATTTAATTATATTTATAATACTTTTCATTGCCAATTAAGTAAAAGCAAATAAACAGTATAAAATAAAAGTAAAAGATTAATAAATAACGCAAAAATAAAAAATAAATTTCTCAAAAAGAAGATTATCATTTAAAATAATAAAAACATATGTACAATTGTTGATTATTTATGTATTAATAATCTAAAGTAATTAATTAATTAACTATTAATTATTGATTTCTAATATAAAGAAGTTTTATTAGAAAAAATTTAATTCATTTTCAGTTAACAAAAGTAATTGCTTAAGTTTTGTTTTAAATTGGTTTAGAGAATAATTAGTTTTCATTTCATTATTTAATATTATGTTCCACAACTTCGGTCCTCGGTTTACAATAGAGAATTTAGTAGCGGAATAATAAGTTTTGGATTGAATGTAGTTGTAATTTGAAAATCTTGTAGGGTATATGTGATTTATTTTTTCAAAAATTGAATAAAATAAGATTGGTAATATATTTTTATCAAGTTTGAACATAAAAATAAGAACTTGATAGAGGTTTAGTTTATATACATTTAGGATATTAAGTTCATTAAAAAGTGTTTGTGTGTGTGAAAAACGATCTACGTTTGAAATTACCCTTATAGCCTGTTTTTGTTTGCTAAGCAATTTTTTTATTTTTGTCGCGTTAGTGCTTTTGAAACACTAAATAATCATAACAAAATTAAAATATCAAATATTGAAAATTATTTGAAAAAGTGAAAAACAAAATTGTTTTGAGCAAATGCCATTGGGAGTAACCAAAAATAAGTGGTATATTACAGTGGTATTAAAACTGGAATATACCACTTGAACATCTAAGTATAAATTTTTAGAAAAAAAATTTTTCAAAAAAATTAAAATCATATGTATTTTGGCATTTTTTTGGTAAATGCAAAAATCGTTATTTTGTTGTTTAAGTCATGTTAATCCCAACACATTTGCACAAGTTAGAATCACTTCACAATCATTAAAATTTCAAAAATATACGCCGAATATAATAAGATACTAGCAAAAAAAAAAAAAACTCTAATTTTGCAATTGCATTTCCAAATCAATACTCTTGTAACTAACACGCAAAATTATTAAATTCACACGCGTATCAAAGTCACCGCCTTTTACGGTATTAGTTTTCAAAAACGTTTTACAAAGACTTTCTCCTAATAATTTTTTTTAAATTCGTTTTTCTCGAATTATGTAATAAGCATATTAAAGCATTTAAATTGTATTTTTCTCAAAATACGTTATAAGAATATTAAGGCGTTTTGAAAAAAAGCTGCAGCATAAATTTATAGTGAAAAAGTAAGTCTAGCAAAATAAACTTTTATTTGGAATAGGAAAGTTTAAAAGTTTTATCTGGCTTCAGGTTTTTTTTTGTTTTTTTTGTTGCTTAAGAAAGTACTGCCTCCACAGCAGCACCTTTTTGAGCAGCAGGACTTTCTTATTTAGTTTTTTCTTTATTAAGTTGCAGACAACTTTTTTTTGAAACCATCCATCTCAATCATCATGTTTTTTTGATGTTTTATGATATTTTAGCTTTCTTAAAATCTTTTCTTTTGTAAAAGTGTTTTATATCGTTACCTTACATATGTTTGTATGTGATCATTTTAAAACTTTAAAAGAATTTTGTATTTTAAAGTAATCGAAAAAAAAAAAAAATCTGCCATTGATAGGAATTGAACCTCGGCTTCATTGGCATATACTCAAGCAAATATTTTTTAAAAAAAAGTAATGATTTTTTAAGGGAAAAAATGCTATAGATCAAAATTTAAGTGAAAATCAAACTTGATAAATGTTTCAGTTTGTTTTGACATATGTTTTAACATTACTTGATTTAAAGTTTACGTACGTTAGATATTTGGATACGTATTCGATCTTGTTTTCTTATAAAACAAAGTGCTACGATTCTTTCTTGTCCCTACCTTGCTTGCCAAGGATACCGTGTCATATAAGCTCGAAAGCGCACTACTTCTACTAACACTACTATTAAGTTCGGCAGTAATATATAATGAACTTTATTATTTATTTTTTAAATCAACAATTTTATTGTTTAACAATATTTATATTTAATATTAAATATTCAAAATTATGCAGCAAGATAAATATACTTTGTTTAAACTCAGCACAATTTTTTAAAGGTTTTTCTTATTCAAACGTCAAATGATGAAAAAGTTTTATCATTATTTTGATTTTTAACTGTTTTTTAGAGAACATAATTATATAATAAGTTTTTGGTGAACAATTTCATAAAATAAAAAAAAAGTTTTATGTTCTCAATTGAAACAGTGCTGTCTTAACCATTTTAACATTTCTAAATTTTTATTAACATGTTTTTTTTTTAAATAAATAGAAATATATTGTAATATAAAAGTATTAAAAGTATAATTACATCTGCATACTTAATTAGATAATACGAATCCAACTATTAATAACATATAAGTGTCTCGCCGTGTAAAAACAGACAATAAAATTGATATAATAGTAAATTTTTGGGTTAAACTTTGGTGATATCAGTATTTTTTTTGCATAAACTTATAAGTTGTAGCTAATGGCTTTGTTCATAAAACTGGTAAATATGATTTAAGCATCTGGCCTTGTTATTTTACCAATATTAAAATATTTTGGATAGTCACCTTATTTTGGATAGTCACCTTCCAAATTATTATATTATGTTATACTGCCTTTCTTCGCAACCCAAAATTTTTTAATTAATAATATACAAAAACTTACATGACCTGCGGTGTACCACTGCTCGTTAGCAAGCTTTAATGGATTCGGAAAATGTAAAACAAAACCACAAGAGATAGATAACAAAGATGCAATGGAAACAGCTAACACTGTAGTTGCTGTTCTTTCTTTTTCTTTTTCATGAGATACGAAACTGTCATTTTCTAACTGTGTACTCTTTTTCATGTTTTGAATATAGTTTTCTATACAATATTTTATGAATTTTATAAACGAGTTGAAATAAAAATAGTAAAGTTATATAACAAATTTTTTTTTCTTCAATGTTATTTTCTTGTTTGTTTTGCTCTCCAACAGAGAGCAAAATAAACATTTAAACAGCATTAAAAAATATTATTATTTTTTATTGTTTAATTTTATAAATTCCACAAGACCGTTACGATTTTGAGAAACAATAATAAACTTTTAAATAAAATTAACCCTTTTTGAACACAAAATAAGATCTAAATTTCTTCACTTTTTTATTTTAATAAAATAATACAAGGGAAATAATGATAAAATTAAATTTTTGAAAAGAATTAAATTTATTTTGGTATGTTTGCTTCAAAAATATCTTTGAAGATTATTTTTTGTATCAATGAATTTTAGAACTCCAATAGTTAAACCTTTGAAGATCTTTTTCAGGAATTATATATTTTAAGACAATCTTTTTTACATTTTTTGTTTTGTTTTACAATAGGTTCTTTAAATTTAGTTCATTTCAACTGCATAAACCATCACATCATCTAAATTGGATTTCTAGCGGTTTGGTTTTTGAACTAAGAGTGCACAACATCCAAGCTTGTTTTATTGCTTAATATGGCAATAAATAAGCTCAACTTGTGTTGCTGTACGATTGTTATTTTTGTTTTAAATGTTGGATATAAAACAAATAATCAATGTAGAGAATAGTTGCGTATGTTTAGCATTTTAACAGTATATTGTTGTTTTGCAGCCAAAATATTATAATATTTATATTTGTTTTTGGAGTTTACCATACTTTAATCTTACCTTTTAAAGAAAATAAATGAATAGTTCATTTGAAAAAAAAATATTTATACCAAAATTGCGTTGTTTTTAACACTGGGTGTGTTAAAAATCGTATCATCTTATGAAACCAGTATCCTAAGATGAGCTTTTTTAATTGGAACTCAAAAATACTCAGAATATAAAAAAAAAATCACAAAAAAAAAATCACAAAAAAAAAAAAAAAAAATGCATCTTTAAGAACTATATTTAAGTAAAAAGTAATAATCTCTACCAGAAAAAAAAAAACAATAATAATTCTTCGCTATCTCGAAAAACGTTAATGATACTATTTTTTAATAAAACTTATAATAATATATATAATATATATAATAAAACTCGCTCTTGAAATACCAAAATAAAGCTCAGCGGAGATTAACTTAAAAAAAATAAATGCGCTTTTCTTAACAAAAAGCTTGACTTTTTTATTACTTATACGAGTTAGTTAATTTTTATCAAAAAGTATATTACCTAAGTAATTTTAAACGTTTTACGTAAGTTTACATTTCCGTATAAGTAGTTAATTTTTTCCAAACGATTTTACTTTATAATTTTTTACTTTCAAAAGTTATGTAAAAAAGATTACATCAAAAAGTAATTTACTTTTACTTTTAAAAAATACATAATATTAAAGATCCTCAAACTTTAATTTACATTTACCTATAAAAGTGACAAATTAAAAACAACTTTATTATAAAGTAACTTACAAATAAAAGTAAATTACATAAAAGTAATATGCTAGCAAATGTAAATTAAGTTTACAAAAAAAAATATTTTCAAAATAGATATTTTTTATATTAAAAGTAATAACAAATCTTTATTAAAAATATGTTATATAAGATAAAATCTAAATTACATACGCTTACATTTTATATATTTTGTAAAGCAAAGTAAAAGTAATTTATATAAATTTAATAAATAAATTTACTTATATTTTACAATAATTTTGATAGGATCTTATATAAAAGTAATGCAAAAAAATAAAAATTGAAGGCACTAACAATTAGTTTGCCGCAGCATTTGGTTTGCGTGGTTTTAGGTATTTCTTCCCTGAAAGTTTGAAAATATCAACAATTGATTTCCGCCCATGGATAAAACCCTCTCTAATTCCAGTTCATCATAGTTTTAGCTATAATAACAATTTTCTGAATCAAACCATCTCAAAAACTTTCACTCTCTGGCCAACCATTTGAAAGGTTTGGAATTTAGACAAAGCTGAAACAAGGTAGTTAGCAGAAAGCGCCTAAACCCATGGGAGACTCAGAAAGAGCAGTTTGCTTGAAAGTAAAATTATTGGCATAATAGTTAGTTCTTTTTAACAAGTTTTTTGTGTAAATAAATCTATTATTTAAAAACTAAGGAGATAAACTTTAAACCTATCCTGAGTTATGAGGGCTATAACACCATATTAAGCAGCCGTGGCGCAGTGGTAGCGCACTTGCCTCAGAAACGTAAGATCCGAGGTTCAAACCCACCTCTGGGCAAGTTTTGCGACATCGATTGGGAAGGAGGCGTGATTTTCCCATTAAATGCTTTTCCGTGGTGCTCTGTGATAAGACCGTATGGACTTCTTGGGGCACCTTAATCAACTTAAAAAAAAAAAAAAAAAAAAATATCCTGAAGATTCAGGAGCCCCGAACAATTGAAAAGGATGCTTTATTTTGTGAATATTTTTTGCCACTTTGATACAAAAAATGTCCACCTGCTTAGGAATACCCTCTGACGCTAGAAGACTTGTTTTTAACAACTATGGTACTTTCATATTGACATGAAAAATTTAGTAGTATTAGTGTAGTATCAGTGGTCTAGATACCGTAAGGCCGTTATAAGCAAAATTTACGGTCGCACAAGCAACGGAACCTAGAGCCGCAGGGTTAAGGAGCCATAGTATAAATTTATACAGTTTTTTTAGAAAATTTATTGTCTAGAAATAAAGATATTGGACAGTTTGGCCACGTATGTCCACTGACCAAAAATACATTGCTACGCCACTGTGTAATATACGTATCACCCGAGCTGTAGCTAAGCTATGATTTATACGTAGATTAAGAAATAATCCTAATCTACGCATCCAGTGATTGGATGCTGGGGGAAAAAAATACCCTAAAACCTTTACTATCCCTACCCCAAATGCTAGGTAACATATTAGTAACCTTTTTTTTTAATTTTACTCTTATATCGACTTTTTATACTTTTTTCTTTATATATCTAAGGTTTCCGGATCCGTAAAACACGGGTCTTTACCAAACCTACCAATTTTATACACAGCATTTCCACACAGATTATTTTGATACATATTCCTTAGTTGCTTCAATATTTTTTAGTAAAATAATATTGACCTGTAAAAAACTCTAAGGTGGTACTTAGGTGAAAAATCCAAATTCTTTATTTCTTACTATTTAAACTTGATATTTTGGTATAACAAGTATATACAGATAACTATGCCTTTTTTTTAAAAAAAAAAAGAAAAAAATTACAGAAAACACTTTTTTGGGTCCAAAGGTCTAAAAATGGTCACTTTGCGGTGTGTCAAATTCAGAAAAAACCACCTGTAGAATGATAACAAAACTTTTTCAGTTTGTTTATAGTATAATTTTACAGGTATGGGAGCTGAATTAGTCTGATTGCATAACTAGATCTAAGGTAAATAAAATTCTAATACCTTGCTTATAAAAAGGCTTAAAAATAAAACTTTAGGTTTGAGTAACTCTGGACCGAAAAATATTTTTTCAAAAAATGTTGGTTCTAAACGCGTTTCTTATAAAAAATAACCACCATCTAAAATTTCAAGAGTAAAGCTCAAATCAATCAAAAGGTATACGACGCACCGTTCAAAAAATTCAATTTTAAGATAAATGCAATTTTAGTAATAATTTACTAAAAAATTAATAAATTTTTTTTAAATATTCAAAAAAAAAAAAAAAATTTTCATAATTGATCACCATAAATAAAGAATAATAAAAAATATCTCTAATATAAACCATAACCATACTTCTCTTCTGATTGATTAGTATTTATAAAACCTTTTATGAACTCTTTGAATATGCTTTTTTCGATTTCCTTTCCATTGACATTACTCTTTGGTTGTTATTTGAAAGACAGAACTTATTTGCATAAAATCCTGGAGTACCTATGCCCTTTAAAACCTTTAGAATTCCAGTTAAAATATCATTAAAATTTATAACTGCAGAAGCTACACCTAGCTCAACAGTGGTTTTACAAACGTAGATATCTTTTTGAAACTGTTTCGAAATCATTCCATTTAGTAACTCATTTATTTATTAGTTATTTTGAGTTTTGCCATAAAGATATTTTTTTTATAAATTGTCATCACTCAAACCTAAAAAAAACAGGCTTTGTTTCTTCAAGGACAACAATTGGTAATTCCTTCCTTATGTTTGTATGTTGCTATGCCATTTATTTTGTCAGCCTGATATTTACACCAACTATCAGGAGTACATGGGCACATTTGATGCCTTATATATTCTTATAATATCTTTTTCTTAAGAGCAATGGAAAAGCACTGTTTCAATTACTTTTGTCATCCACAGAGTTTTTCTAAACTGGTATAACTTTTTCCAATTTCCCTCATAGCAATAACAAAACGAACATAAACCTCAAACAGGTCTACCACGACTGCTTTTGCATTTACATTCTTTACTTAAATGAAAGGTTGTACATCAACAACAACTTGAACATTGTAACAATAATGGTATAGGCAAGCCTTGCTTTCTCAAGATGTTAAATGTTCAACTCATAGTCTTTTTGTCACATTCAGGGCATGTTACAACTAAATTAATAATTTCCACAAAAATGTCAATACAAAAAAGTATAAAAAATTGATAATATACCAGTGGGTTTGAAGAATATACACAAGGAAACAAACAGGTGTCATTGGCGAATGAAGATGATGCAAACTTTATTGGTCTGGCTTCATTAGTGATTTTAAAAGGTAATGTTGTACCTGATGATAAATATGACAGATTCATTTGAAGAAATAGGTAGTTTAGAAGGAGGAATCTCAGCTGGTTTTTCGTGTTTTTTTTTTGTGTGTGTTGGTTACCTTTGAATGACTGTTTTGAAAATGCTTTTGAGTGGCCAGACTTTCTTTGTAACAAAGCTTGACTCTTTTTTTTAATATTTATTATTATTACAACTATAAAGAATAAAAAAATAATAATAACAAAAAAAGAAGATAAGATTTTTTTTTCATTGTTGTTGTTCTTTACTTATGAACATTATAATTAAATAACTTAAACAAAAAAAGAAAATAATAACAAATAAAAAACCAATTAAGTTAACTATAACAAAGCTAAAAAAAGAAGATAAAAAACCATGTAACTAAATCAAATAAACGATGATTAAAAACATAAAAAAATATTATTTTACTTGCAGCTTTTCAACTTTTAAACAGTTTAAATAACACATGTATTTAATTGGTGACTTTTTGCATGAAGTTTATATTTCTGTAAAACAATTAAATGAATTTAAAGCAAGGCAACAATGGGTTTTTACACATACTTTTAGAGGCTTTCAGTAAATCAAAATTGGTTGCTATGGGCGTTGCTACGAAAGTTGAGTTTGGAGTTTAAGAGTGCCTTTTTTAAAATGAAAAATTAGGTATCATCTTAATTACTTTAAATGAAACAAATTACATAGGCGTTTCTTCAAAGCTCAGTTTACTTAAAAACATTCACTTTGAAATTTTCAATTTTTACTTTTTTTTCAACCATGTACCACCTAAAGAGCAAAAATTTTACGTGCGCACCTTTTCCGCATACGTAGAGGTTATAAGAGACATATAATTAGATTTTTTTTCATTTCATTGAGAGCTCAGTAGTTATGTGCGCTGTCATCAATGTTGTTTTAGAGCGTTTAAGACCTCTTCTTAGCGTAACAAACTTTGAAAATTTTTTAAACTTGCTTATATATTCATAGCAAAAAATTAGAATATAGAAAAAATGGTTCTAAAATTAAAAAGTTTCCTTATTTAATTGATATACACGATTATTCTATACTAGCTGGGCGGACCCGTAAAATACGGGTCTTTACCGAACCGACCATTTTTATACTTATCTGATCATTTCTATAGCTATCAGGACGTAAAATAAGGGTCTTAGTAAATCTATTCCACACCGACCTTTTCTATACTTATTCCTTACCTCAATATTTTTTTAAAACCGTTTTAAAAACTATGTACATATAAAAAACTATACTTACTTTTTGATATGACAAAAAAATTTCATTATATAACGTTAGAATGTTCTTTAAAAAACTTTAAACGCTTTTAATATTATGCCGATTATAAAGATTTTAATAAGAAAAAACGTAAAAAAGACTACGGACTTTGAAAAATGCTAAAACATTCAGCACGTGATGCCGTTAAAGTTCGCCTTAGTTAACGTTCATAACATATACACATCTAATTAGATTTTTTTTAAATTCAGTTGTTCCAAACTTGGTTTTGAATTTTTAATTACACTTCTTATGCGTCATAAATTATCTCAAATTCTAAATAGAGAATACGTTTATGGGCTAATTGGTAGCCGCGCAACACTTAGACAGATATAGTCATCTCACCCCGGTAGTTCATATTCCAGTGACCTTTTTTTTCATCCCAACTTACAACAAAAATAATTAAAAATAAATGTTATTATTGAAACAGTTTTAAACATTTCTTCCAATTTTTCTTTGAACTTAATTTTATTCACGGTAAATATACTTTTGGTGTTTGTAAGCGTTTTTTTACGTTTAGTATTGGTAGGAATTATTTGCACGCACGTATTTTAAACAATTATTTTTACTGTTTCATCTAAAAATCATATGTAATTTAGTTTTATAATTTTTTAAATATAATATATATAATTTAAAATATTTTATTAACCCTATTTAAATAAGTATCAAAATTCTTTTCTTTAATTTAAAAGAATGCCTGCCCAAACCTAAACGCTCAGTTGATGTATCTCCGCTTTGCTTTTATTTGTTAACCGTTAGAAAAACATTACAAAAAGAAACATAATAGAGTCCATTAGTTTATAGCATCCGAGTAGACTCTTCCAATATTAAACAGAGTATCTTACAATTTTATTGGTTTTCTAAATTCTGTCATAGTTGCGCACTCGGTTTAGAATATTTAACGGGGGCGTAAATAAGTAACTGTAAAATTCTAAATATTTTTATTATTTTAAATTAAATAGTTTTAACGTTTTATTATTTTGAAAAATAATAAGTTCAATAAAATAATTTATTTTAAAAATAAATTTAAGATTTTTAAAGTTTTTTTAAATAAGAATGTTTTTTTTAAAACCCCCTCACTGTTTTAAAAAAATTCAAGGTCGCCGCGTGGCAAGTTCAAATCATCAGCTTGCTTTTTTTAATAAAATTATTGTTATTTAAAATGCAAAACAAAACAACTTTATAGTTCTAAATATTTACATGTTATATACCCAATTTCTTTGTGCTAATACGACTTAAAATAACATGACAAATAACAAATTTAAAATTATAATAAATAAAAGTTTACGTAAGGCTAACCACGGCATTTTGACGAAAATTTCAAAAATATATAATAAATAAAAGACTTTGTAAATCGATCAAAATTAAAGAGACGTTGCCGCAATGCTGTTTTTAAGTGAAAGTAAAACTGTAAAACTTGACATGTTTTTGTATGTTTTAACATTTCATATTTTGAAATTTACGTAAGTTAGATATTTGCATACACTTTTGTTTACGTTTATTTATCAAAAAGTGCTGAGACTCTTCCTCGCCATTACTTTGGTTGCAATAGTTGCCATGGGTTTGTCAAACACGCTCGAAAGAGCGCTACTAACACTATTAAGTTCGGCAATAATATATAGAGAAGATAGCTTTTAGTAAATGGTATGAATATACATTTGATAAAGTATTTTTGATAATGTATGAATAGACGTATTACTAATGGTATTAGTAATACGTCTTTAGAAAAAGTAAACGCTTTTAAAAAATGATTAACGATTAACAATTTTTAAACCAGTTATAACAGGAAATCTACCTATAAAATGAAGAAAAATATTGTTATATAAAACACTGAATACACATATAAAAGTTGTTTAAAGTTATTTAAAAGTTGTCTAAATGTTGAAAAATTACATAATAAGATGTAAAAAAATATATAAAAGGTGACGAAACTTAGTCAATTATCAAACACTAAATAAGAAACTTACTTTGTGAGATCGCTTTTGTGGAAGTCTCTAGTATTTGATTGGAAGGCTGGAAACACTCTTTATTTAAAAAGCTATTTTATCAACAATGCTAAAGATAAAAAGTCACAGTGAGATAAAAAAATTAGGCATTTATTCAAAAAAATATTTCTTGGCTTTTAGTGAATGATTAGAAGGAGTAGTTTCAGTAATGAAGCTAGCTAATAATCATTTTTAACGATAGACACCAGCGTGAAGGTAAGCCAAGCTGTCTATCAACACAAAACATCACAACAGAAACATTTCACAATGACAAACAAAAACACCAGTGGTGTAGACAGGACTTTTGTTGTTTTATAAGAAATTTAAAACCTGTTAATGAATAAGATTATTATTATATGCTTAAAAAAAATACTTTTTTAACTAATTGGCAGCTAAATTCAAGGGAGGAAAGCAAACCTTTTTAAAACATATTTGTTTTCAAGCCCCAACCACATCCATATTTTACAAATTATTTGAATTTGACAAACATGAACACAATTAAGTTTAGTTGAAAGAGTCTGAAAGTAATGAAAGAGTTTGAAAGTAAATAGTCTGAAAGTAATGAAATAGTCTGAAAGTAATGAAAGTAATAAAAGAGTCTGAAAGTAATGAAAGAGTTTGAAAGTAATTAAAGAGTCTGAAAGTAATAAAAGTAATAAAAGAGTCTGAAAGTAATGAAAAAGTCTGAAAGTAATGAAAGAGTCTGAAAATAAAAGTAAAACCTGAAGCATCAAAAAATCCTGCCTACGCTACTGAATAATACACAACATATGACATTTGTAAGTACACATTACACAATGTATTCAGATATTATGTGTTTTCAAAATAATTAAAAAAGCTAGACAACACAACCTAGTTCAACACTTGTAACACCGCTTGGCACTAAACGCTGCCAAGTAACACCACAATTTAGTAACACCGCTTGGCATTAAGTGCCAAGTAACACCACTAATTAGTAACACCACTTGGCTGGCAAGGATCACAATCTTGCACTACACATTGCCAAGTAACACCACTTTTCAAACATGGAAACAACATAATATAAACTTAAACACATATAAACAAACATATACAAACACAAACATCTATATATAAGTAAAAACATATATTCACATATATAAACATATATAGCAAAGAAAAAAAACATAAACAAACTTGTCAAAATTATAAATTAAGAACATTTGTAAACACAACATTATTTGTGTAATATTTGTTAAATGACATACCTTGTAATGCATGTTTATCAACTTTAAAAAACAAACTATTAAAAGATTTTGTTCTTGAACATGCAACATATAATTGGCCGTGTAAAAAGCAAGGCTTTTTGAGATAAACACCAACTTTATCAAATGTTTGACCTTGACTTTTATTTATGGTCATTGAGTATGCTAACCTAACTGGAAATTGACGACGTTTAAGTGTAAAAGGTAAATTTGAATCTGATGGAGCTAATTGAACTCGAGGAACAAATACCCTGTTACCAGCTGATACACCTGTTAGAACCTCACCATCAATGTAATTGTTGTGTAGTGCACGCACCATCAAACGTGTTCCATTACAAAGTCCACCTTTGAGATTTAAATTTCTAAGTAGCATTATAACAGCACCAATTTTCAACTTTAGGCAATGAACAGGCATACCTGATGGAGTCAAAGTATTTAAAAACTCAACTGGAAAATTATAAATTTCATTATGATCATCAGTTTCAATGCTATCTGAACTTAAATAAGTTTTAACATCACCGGTAATCGATGAAGGACTTCTTCATTTATTGCCAATGAATCAACATTTGTTGGTGTTAAAATAGCACGTTTTGCATAATCAGCTTCTTCTGCACCACCAAAAATCTTTTCCACAATAGATTCATTATCATTGAGAAAACACTGCTCAGGTATTTCAATACACCCTTGCAAAGGATCTTCAGGCTTGACAGGTAATGTTCCACTTCCAAGCTTTAAAAGCCATTGAGAAAATTCCTCTTCTCCTATCTGAACCCTCATATTTTCAGTTAATGAAAACCTTTGCACATATTGCCAATGTTCAGAACACTTTATACATGATTCTACAACATCTGCTGGTCGACCTCTCTTCACAACTGGAAGTATTTGTCGAAAATCTCCACCCATAAGAATAACTTTACCACCAAAAGGAAACTTATTATTACAAATATCTTGTAATAACTTATCAATGGCACTCAAAGCATGTTTGGGTATCATAGATGCTTCATCGAGTAAATATAAACTAACTTGTCTCAGGAATCTACCATGAATGGAGTTTGGAGTTACATTACATGTGCTAGTTTCCAAAATTGGAACAGGAAGTTTGAATAAGCCGTGCAATGTGCATCCATTCTTAAGAAGAGTTGCAGCTATTCCTGTCCTTGCAGCTGTTGCAGTTCTAATATGCCTGCTGCGTGTTTCAGCAATTAAATAATTGTAAGTAAATGTTTTACCACAACCGGCAGGCCCATCCATAAAGAAAAATCTTGAATGCTTATTTTCATTATTAGGTTCTTCACTAAGTGCAGCAAGGATTGCATCAGCTACATTACGCTGAATATCGTTTAATAATGGTCTAACTCGATTTGCTTCATCAATAAATACCTGAATATCTCCATCATCATTTTCTAGGACATTATCTAATAACTGATCTAATGTATACAAATTATAATCAGTTAAAGTTTTACCACTCTGATTAATTATAGATTCAATTTGACGAAGAGCAGTCTGTTCAGCAAGTACAACTGGCATTGAATGGTGTATGTAATTCTCAATCATATAATCTTTAAATGTATTCCAAAGGTGTAAAGGATCATCAGGTTCACATAAAGTCAATATAATGGAAAACAGTTGCCTAATTTGTTTAGGCATTCCAGTTGCTACAGCTTCAGTTAATGTATTTCTCCATTCAATGTCATCTTGCAATAGACCTAATCGATAACATGCTTCACGAAATGTATTAAAAACAGTGCCATGAATAGTACGCAAATCCTCAAAAGACATTGCACCTTTTACATGCAAAAGCAACAATCTAAGAAAAAATACTTCACTGGTTAGATTGACTTTATACATTCGCACAATCACCTTATCACTGCCTCTTTGTCTTACTTTCCACTTGCAATTTTTACCATCAAAAACAAAGTGATATGGAATTTCAACATAAGAATACTGACGTGCTTCATTTATCTCAGCATTTAATTTAAACCAAGCGGTTAGGTGAGTGTCACGCTGTGCAGCACGATCTATAGCTACTCGTTCTTCTCCTTCGTTAAAATATACCCTCTGATTATCAGGAAGGTGGACTTGAAGGCGGATAATAGTATGTGACATATCACTTATGGAATACTCAAATATTCGCCAAAGAGCCTCTGGTGCAGAAACAAAGCGACAATCTAAATATGTGTTAATTTCATCATGGTCAAGACTTTCATTAATTAACACATGAGCACAATCATGCCCCTTATAGACATATTTATATAAATACTTAACTGACTTAATAGACATGCAAGCTTCAACATTAATATGTGCTTGGTATTTTTTAGATAACCAAGGGTTGTAGGGTACAACCCATCGATTATCAACTTGGTTACCTTTTATAACGACTACTCTACCATTATCTAAACGCCTGTAGTGAGGATAGCCATTGAAAGTTGCAACAGTGTGAGGATTAAATTCTTTAGGAAACTTTTTTGTGCAAATCCCATCTTTCATGCAAGAAGAATTGGGATTCAAAATTCCACATGGTCCGTGAATCATACATGTTTTTATAATTTCAAAAAGTTCAGGATCAACAGTTTGATCTGGAATTTCAGCTGATATTAGACTATCAATATCCTCTGCTGTTTCTAGCTTATTATCATTTACAAAGTGCAATAAAATATGTACATGTGGCAAACCACGTTTTTGAAACTCAATAACCTGTACATGACTTATAACTTTACCTAAGACTCCGTGTTTAAAAATATCATCTAGGAAGCATTTAAGTTTCATCTTAAATACACGACAAACTAAATCAGGTCTGTCAGATGGGCTCTCACCTGGATTTAAATTTTCTGTAATTTCTTTCCATTTTGGATTGCAGGTAAAAGTAATAAAAAGATCTGGTTTGCCATATCTCTTTATAATTGCCATTGCATCTTCAAAATTTTCTTTTAAAGCTCTTGGACTTCCAACATATGAGGATGGTAGTATAACAACACGACCTGGTCTTACATTAAGGTTATTTGCAGCGTTATTTACATGTTCATATAATGTATCATATTGTTCACTTCTAAGTCTGTTTTGGTTATTTCTAATAAAAGCAAGGCGCTGACCTTCAATCTTGACATATGCATCAACAGCATACTGTTGAAAAAGCTTCTTACCATAAAATATAGGATTAAAGGTTTCTCTAACAGAAAGCCTGTAATTGTAGTACTGAGACAAAGTAACCCGATTTCTAACACGTGTAGCTCGGTCAGGATGATGCTCTAGTTGCTCATGCCATCCAGCATCACCTCTTGGAAAAAATATTGGATATATCATTGGATCTAGATTTGCAGACATACTTGAAATTGTTTTTAAGGCCTGACCTCGAGGGTATATAACTACTTCCCTAGATGGAGGTGGAGCACCATCATCCCCAACAAAAACAATGGCAACTTCCTCATGTGAAGGAAGATTGTATCGACGTCTATCACCACCTTCAAGCAATGACATTTTAACAATCGAAGTTGGTCGACCTTCTAAAGCTGCTTGACGTACTTCTTCATCTTCAATTTCAGCCATGTTTTTAAATGCAAGAGCAAATGGGTTCTCTTGATTAATTATAGTCTGCAAAAATTCCATTAACTCACGTATGCAACAATCATTTTGCTCCATTCGAAAATTTAAAGCAGTATTAGGATCATAAACATATAACTGACAATATGCAGGCAGAACATTTTGATCAGGTCTCAGATTACCAACACGATGCACAATTTGTTCGCAAATCCTAAAACAGGGTGGCCCATGATCAGACGGAGGAGCTATTCTTGCTGTAAATGAAGCAAAAGATAAATAGGCATTATAACTTCGAATATGCTTGAAGAAATTTTGATTCATAGCACGATCAACATGGTTGCCTGTCATTAAATTGTGCATGAGCAGTGGATAAGGCGAAAGTGGAGCTAACGCAACTTTTCCAGAATGGCAGCACAGAAAATGTGTTTCATTTAAAAAATTTTTGGCACCACAATATTGACAAATATGGTTCATTTCTCCAAGGTAATTACTCACTATAAAAACATTATTTTTTGCTATGCAATGCATTCCACGTCTATGTAATACTCTCCTAGCCTGATTTCTTTCATTTTGGCGACGATTAATTTCTTCTCGCCTAGCCTGATTTCTTTCATTTTGGCGAAGATTAATTTCTTCTCGCCTTGCCTCATTTCTTTCATTTTGGCGAAGATTAATTTCTTCTCGCCTTGCCTCATTTCTTTCATTTTGGCGACGATTAAGTTCTTCTCGCCTAGCCTCATTTCTCTCATTCCGACGATTTCTTCTTATTTCAGCTCTCAAGTTATTTGACATAACTAATAAACTATGTTTGATAAAAGTTGATTTGATTAATTTTTTGTTATACTAATCTAAAATGGAAAAACATAATATGTGCATTTCTAATTATCAATATAAACTCTATAAGACTATTTATATATTTTCTAATAAAAAAATTATTGACCTAAAGTCTTAACTTAACTGGTTTAAAACAGAGAAAAACCTAAAAGTTAAACATAAGTTGAACCACTAAGTATTACATTTAAAGTAATAAAACAAAATATTTTAGAAATAAATTAAAATAAAATTATAACAATTTTAACAATTTTTTAATGCTAATAATAACTAAATTAAATAGTAAAATTATTTACAAATAAAAAAACGACATGCCAAATTGCAAATTGCAAATAAAACTTGTCTAACATGTAACATCATATAGTTCACATGTGGCTATCTTTAATGATTACTTTTTTATAATAAAAATCTAAAGAGAATAATATAAACATTAATATGTGTATAATGCAACAATTAGGCATATAAAACAAACAAATAGAATAAGAAAAAATTGTAACTAAATTACAAAATATTTACTATCAAGAAATCAAAAACTATATGAAATAAATAAAAATTAATAGACAAATTATTTAACATTTAACCACATAAGAGTTGTTTTGAAAGTTTAGACTCTCAAATCAGAAATAAAAATCAATAAATATAAAATTAAAAAATTAAAATATCAAAAATAAATAAAAATACTTGCAAAAATCGAAACTAAAAAACAACTTTTTTGAAACGTAAAGATATATTTACAACAAATAAATAAATTAACACAAAAAAAAAAAAAAAACTACTGATGAAAATTCATAATGTTTGACCTTTGGTCATTCTGCCTCCCAGCACCACTCCTCCTACCGGTGGCCCCATATGGGGTCTGTCTCCTCCATCTAAAGGAGGGATCATCTCCCCCATATTGGCACCACCGGAAGAAGGCCCTCTGTGATAATGGGCCTGGGTGCTGGGAGCGATATAAAAGGAAACTCTCCCAAGATGCTAAAAAAAAAGCAATAAATTTGATTACATACCATATATGCATATATATATATATATATATATATATATATATATATATATATATATATATATATATATATATATATATATATATATATATATATATATATATATATATATATATATATATATATATAAATTCTGCATAAAACGACTAACATATTAATTTTAAAAACGACTAAAATTCACTTTACCTGTTGCAACTGAAGAATGTGTTGCTGTTAAGAAAAAAATATATATATATTAAATCATGTATTTATATACAAACTTCACAAATTTAATGTTTATATTTAAATACACATAACACCAATATAAATGCATAAGTGTGAAAACATGTTACCTGACACTGATGCCAATGGTGCTTCTGTGGAGGTAAAAAAAAAAAAAAAATTAACATATACTACAGTCATGAAACTTCAAACATAAAAAAAATTGAATGTTTATGTTTTAATACACATAACACCCACAAAACTACATAAGTATGTAAAACACACTACCTGAAATAACTGCAAGGGGTGCTGTTGGAGAAGCGAAAAAAAAATTAAAGTTTAAATTAACACAAACCAAACATTCATAAAATTGCATACAAAAGAAAAAAATTTAATGCTAATTTAAATGCATAAAAAATTAATATGCATAAAACCTATAAAACTGTATAAGTATGCTAAACCCACTACCTGACACAACTGCCAATGGTGCTTCTGTAAAGGCAAAAAAAAAAAAAATTGTAATGTTCAAATTAACATATAATTAACAGGTATGAAACTGCATACAAATATTAAAAATGTAATGTTTCAGCTTGAATAATACAACACCCAAAAAATACATAAGTATGCAAAATACATTACTTGATGCAGATCCTGTTGGTGCTTCTGTGGAGGCAAAAAAAAAAAAAAAAATTAAAAGTTAAAAAAATTAACATAAACTACAGAGTCATGAAACTTCATACAAATATAAAAAAATTGAATGTTTATGTTTCAATACATAAGTTTGCAAAACACACTACCTGAAATATTTGCCAGGGGTGCTGCTGGAGAGGCAAAAAAAAAATTAAATTTTAAATTAGCACAAACCAAACATTCAAAAAACTGCATAAAAAATAAAAAAATTTAATGCTTATGTTTTAATACGCATAACACCTATAAACCTGTATAAGTATGCAAAACCCACTACCTGACACAACTGCCAATGGTGCTTCTGTAAAGGCAAAAAAAAAAATAGTAACGTTCAAATTAACATATATTTAACAGGTATGAAACTGCATACAAATATTAAAAATGTAATGTTTCAGCTTGAATAATACAACACCCAAAAAATACATAAGTATGCAAAATACATTACTTGATGCAGATCCCGTTGGTGCTTCTGTGGAGGCGTAAAAAAAAAAAAAAAATTAAAAGTTAAAAAAATTAACATAAACTACAGAGTCATGAAACTTCATACAAATATAAAAAAATTGAATGTTTATGTTTCAATACATAAGTTTGCAAAACACACTACCTGAAATATTTGCCAGGG